ATGAGAGGATGCATTTCTAAACGCCAGAGGAATCTATACCAGCCCTCGTGGCAGCTCGCCTGGCTGCTGCGTTTGGCAAGTGCAGCTGCGGAGAGGAAATTAAAGTTTGGCAAGAGCGCAGCAGCTCTGCTTGTCCAAAAAAAAAAATCCTCCAAAAAAATGGAGGACAAAAAAAATGTGTATAGATTTCCAGTTTCAATAGATGCCATCCTACTGTGGAATCCCATTAAGCCATTATTTGACCATTAAATCAGGAATAGGAATCTGTCTGCGCAGGTTTGATTTGTCGTTTTTTTTTTTTTTTTTGTCGCACCGCCTTGGTAACAGATGTATGACAATTTATGATTAAGAAGAGTCACGTTTGCACCCCATGTGGAACATAAATTGCACGTCAAGCGCTGGGTGTTAAGCATTGAGAAGGTGAGTAAGTGGATAAACGCAGTGCACAGCTGCAGCAGTGTGATACATGAGTCATTAAAGATCATGCACAGCCTCGTTCAGATTTTACAGCAGATATTATGAAAGGTTGAATGCCTCTCCTTCTGTATTGCCGCTGCCTTTTTTGATGGATAGAATAATAGAGAGCGAAAGGGGAGACAAAGTGAAATTGTTCAAATTGAATGTTATTCAGAGCAATATTTAAAGCCATGGCTTAGCTGGAAAAATAGAAACCTTAATCTGTGCAAATGTAAGTCTTTTTTATTTAGCGAAAGTCAGTGTGTGCCTGTGGACTAAAATATTTAAGTGCTATGTAATTTAAAAGGAACAGGTTACTAAAAATAAGATCTGTTTGTGTTTTCTAAGCTTTGCGCTATTCTAAACTTGTATGACTAAGATGTTTGAAGAGTGTTTTCACTTGCGTCATGATTTTGTCAGTTCTCCGTATATGTGGTTATGGAGACACTTGAATGTGAACAACATATTTATGTTGCGTAAACCCTAAAACAAATGTAAAAATGATAAAGAAGGACTTAAAAAAGGATTAATAGAGTTTAATAAGCTTTATTATATTATTCTGCTTGAGTTGCTTTACTCTACGTAAATGTTTTTCATCTTTCTGGTTGGATTAATTAGTGCATCCAAAACATGACAATAATTGATTATTTTGAGCAACAGCAATCAGCCACCTTTAATTGCTTTATTGGCACTGTTTGCGTTCTGCTCTTCAACATCTCGACTGATGACGCATTGTGAAAATACTTTTCCTATGCAATTTTTCTTATAATGAAATTTAATTGTGAGCAGAGGCTGGAAAGCTCCAATAAAGACAAAATATATTATTTGTGAGAAATTAATGGATGAATCGATTAGTGAATCAACCAGTTGTTAAACAACCTTTATTTATTTCTTTATTTATATTATCATTTGATTTATTGAATTTTTTTTTTCATGCATTGTTAATTTTATTTGTTGTGTTGTATTGGCAGTGTTCATTTATTAAATTTTTCAATGCTTATTTTATTTATTTAGTTTTTTTTTTTTTAGTTTTTTTTTTAGTTTTATTATATATATTTTTTCATTTATTTTTCTATTTTATTTTTTATAGGGCAGTGTTTGTTTATTTATTTATTTGTTATAATATTTGTTTTATTGTTTATTTTATTTTTATTTAGTTATTTAATTAATTAATTAATTTATTTATTTATATTATAATCTTGTATTTATATATTTTTTCATTCACTGTTTTTTTGCGTTTATAGGGCAGTGTTTATTTATTTATTACATTTTTTCATTGTTTATTTTATGTTTATTTATTTATTTTTATTAAAATATATTTTCTTTTTTCTCATTCATTGGTTATGTTATTATTATTTTTTTAATTATTTTTTATTTAAATATTTTATTTATTCATTTATTTATGTTATAATATATTTTATTTATAAATGTTTTCATTCATTGTTATTTTTTGTTTGTTTTGTTTTTATAAGGCAGTGTTTATTTATTTCTTACATTTTTTTCATTGTTAATTTTTTATTTTATTTTTATTGTAATATAAATACATATATTTTTACCATTCATTGTTCATTTATTGTTTATTTTTTATATTGGGCAGTGCTTATTTAATTATTAGTTATATTTTTGATTGTTTATTTTATTTTAAATTTAAAAAATATTTATTTATTTATTTTTTATTTATTTTTTTTTTATAGGGCAGCAGGGAGAGGCACAGTAGTTGACCATAAAGTTTTAAGTTGCAATAAAAATGCTAAATATTTAATGAAGAGAAATCTGGGATATATAGGTCATTATGGAACTGGGACATTATGGACAATTTTATTTTTCTCTTTAAGATATTCCACAGGTAAGGCGTCAGTTATGTATTCAGTGCTGTAGCATTGTCACCTACATCTCTGTCTTACATGTGGCTTTAGGGTTTTATTTACGTGCTTTTGAATTGTTCGGCGAAAGATCACAAGATGCTTTGAAAGAAGCTGGAGTCGCGAGTTCAAGGGGCCAAGTGCGGGCTGTGGTCTCCACAGATCAGGGTATTCAGTGAACAAACAGAGACGTCTGCGCACCAGCCGCACACATCTCTGGGGAAAACTCATCAATCGCGCCCTGCAAATATCAACACATTCTTAACACTATTCGGCATCAGTGGAGGTGGCTGTTTTATCTTTCAATATATTATTCATGCACATATATAAATATTTGATATGATTGCGCTAAAAAAAGGGAAATTGCTCTTTTATGAGTAGTTTTTGGAGAGATATTTGGTGTACAAGGAAGGGGTGGGGGCGGTGGGGTGTTAGTTGGGTGATGTGAGTATACCGCTGGTTTTCTCTGCTCTCCTGGGAGTCTGGGCTAGATTTTCAAGGAAGCTTAATTGCATATAGCTCATGTAGACTATTGAAAAATTCAATAGCCTTAATGCTAAAGAGTGTGTTTAGAACATTTCAGCTTGAGTTTTCCTTCAGTTTTTTAGCAGAGAACTGTGTTTGCAACTCTCTTGTGAATGCAAATAATGGACACACACCAGTACACAAAGTCCTCATACTGTATCTATTCCAGCTCAACTCTGTTGTCAGTTCACCTTTTAGTGCTTAATCTAGTTGTGTACACACAGAGTTAAGTATGTGAGTGAGTTTCAACAATGTTTGACAACCATAATAACTTCTGAAAAATGCAAAATGACATCTGCCTTAAGTTATTTGAAGGATCTTTGAAACCGACTCAACTAAATGTTAGTAATGGTTATAATGTATTGGCAAGGAATGACAGGAAAAGACTCATCACCATATTTTGCACAATAAAACAAGCCCATAATAAATAGAAATATATTTAAACAAGTGCAATCTTCAGATTTAAAGCCTCTAATAAAAAGTTACATTCTAACAAATGGCAAGAATGAGATTAGTGCTTAGAAAATAAATGTTTTGAATTCCCGCCTGATATAGGAAGACAATCCATTTTTGTTTTAACTCAAGACATGGTGAGATTGTAGAAGATGCTCTTTCAGACACGAGACTCAAACATGAACATTTACTCCAAAGAGAAAAACCCCAAAAGGTCAATATTGCAATAGAAACCAAACTGTTAAACATATTCTAGTGGAATGCCCTGTTTTTAATGTTATCAGACAAATATTAATATCTTTGCCTGATTTAAGAGACTTTCAAATGTCAGTCTTTCCTATATTGTGCAGTTTTTTTTTTGTTTTTTTGTTAGAATATTTTTTAAATTATACAAAAGTTTATTTTACTTTATTTTATTTTTTTTTAATTTGGTAAACAATCTTTTTTTTTTTTTTTTTTTTGCCATGACATGATCATAATCTGATATGGCAATAAACTTACAATTCTCTCTCTACAAATCTATTTCTAATTATACCAAAACATTGCTAGCCTCATCTGCTCACTGTCCCAACTCCATAAACTTGAAAAAGTCAAAACCACAAGCCCAAGGATGGGTTTAATGAGTGGACATGGTAACACTTTAGGATCTAGCACAGGGGTGTCCAAACTCGGTCCTGGAGGGCCGGTGTCCTGCTGAGTTTAGCTCCAATTTGCTTTAACACACCTGCCAGGAAGTTTCTAGTATCTAGTAAGAGCTTGATTAGCTGGTTCAGGTGTGTTTGATTAGGGTTGGAGCTAAACTCTCCAGGACACTGGCCCTCCAGGACCAAGTTTGGACACCCCTGGTCTACAGCTTTCAAATTGTAAACACAATAGACCAGGGATGTCCAAACTCTGTCCTGGATGGCTGATGTCCTGCAGATTTAACTCCAACTTGCCTCAACACAACTGCAAGGATGTTTTTAGAAAGCCTAAAAGAGGTTGATTAGCTAGCCAGGTGTGCCTGATTGGGGTTGGAAGTAAACTTTGCAGGACACCGGCCCTCCAGGACCGAGTTTGGACATGCCTGCAATAGACCATTTCAATGTGGTGATGCCGTTGGCCCATGGACATTTCCTGCTTATTATCAAACTATTTTATATTTGTAACAAAAGACAATTCAATCGTAATTTAATGTTAAAGCAGCTACCATAACATTATTAACCAATATGTGGCTCTTTTCGGATTCTCTAATTAGGGATGAGGGCTCCAAATTAGCTTCATGCTATATGCCCTATGGTACGCGGCATCAGTTGTCTTTGTGTTACAACATCAAGTGTATTGTCCCTGTTAAACAAGCAAACAAACAAATAAATAAATAAAGGTCAATTTATATGTATTTTTACATTTATTTTAAAAAGTAAAAGGTGTAGAAATCAGAGAGGTAATTATTATTTTATCATTAGACTGCTTGTTTGCTTGTTCTTATTATAACATGACAAACATTTTGACAATAGCTTGAGTTGAGATGCAGATGTAAACTAATGTTCATTATCAAAGATTGTAACATCTGTAATAATAATAATAATAATAATAATAATAATAATAATAATGTAATTGTTAATGGGTAAAACTAAAATATTCTATTTGGATCAGAATTAAACTTGTCAACTACAGTTAAAAGCATACATAATCTCTAAAATGTTGTTCTGTTATTCTCCACAGGTTGTAAGCCGTGTGGCAGCGCAGCAGGGTTTTGATCTGGACCTCGGCTACCGGCTTCTGGCCGTTTGTGCTGCAAACCGGGACAAGTTCACCCCAAAGTCGGCAGGTGAGTCTTTTTCCCTTATTGTGATGCTTTCCTCACTCATCATTGCTAATAAAAACTAAGTCTCTGCGCCTGTGATGAATGCACATTTCTCATCTAGTGATGTGACGGGAAATCTTTGTGCAATTCCAGCGCACGGCCATGCATTAGCACGCTTTCACTTTCCTCTGTCTGACACTCACCCATCTCTTTAAGACGTCATGAGGCGATTTAACTTCCCGAGGTTGTCTTTTCCTGCCGATTTTACACATGGAGCTCTGACCGTGCCAGAAACGCCTCCGAATAATTCATTGATGAGCCGCCAGAGTTCACTTTCCAGCAGTCATCCATCAGCAGAGCAACATCGCTTTGTAATCAGCTCTGTTTGAAATCCTGACCTTCTCAGCCAAAGCTGAGTGTCCTGTTCTTGTACATTTGTCAAAGTGAATTGCGGATGGGCATCAGCCAAACAGAGATAGATGGTCCGCAAATGCCGGGGTTGAGGTGTGTGAGTGTACTTCATTTGAGAAAAGCCTGACACGGCTCGCTTTTGAGAATGAAGATAAACTGTCCATTTGAACCATGGTTACTGTGGGACACCTTGAGGCTTCCAGATTTTTTTAGGGTGTTTGGGTTTCCTCTTGATCTTTGTAGATAACGGCTAAAATTATTTTCATTAAATATGCTGTATATACAATGGTCAGCATAAATAAGTACATTACAATTTTTTTTAATTTCACATTGAATATAGTTAATAGGTTTTTGTGCATTTGAACAAAACAGTTTTTTTTATTAGATATATTTATTAAAATATTAATTTAGTCATCAATCGTCTTTAGAATTAGAAACATAATACATTTAAATTCATGCAATATATATATATATATATATATATATATATATATATATATATATTAAAACAATAAAAAAAAAAAACAAGCTAACAAAATGTGATATTCTGATTTTGGTCTTTTTAAAAACATTTTATTTAATATTTTCTCCTAACATATAAGTTTGGGCTACTAATGTTTGGCTTTAGTACTGACTAATCTAATGTATAGGCACAGATATAATATTGTAAAACATCCTATAGAAAATAATTATTTAAATGATTTAAACAATTAATTATTTTCTATTTTTATGTTTATAAACCTGTTATTTATAAAAGTTTTTATTATTTTTATTTGTATTATGTTATTTCAATATTATAGTACTGTTTCTATTTTTATTATTATATTATTTTTTGTACATTTTCATATAATTTTAATATAATTATTAATATTTTAAATAACTTGTTTAAAAAAAAAACATTTTTTATTTTGTTATGTAGTTGTCATTTTGTAATATATTTTAAAACTTTCAAATGTTTTTTTTTTTTTTTTTTTAGCAATTTTTATCATTATTAAACTAAAACCAATTTAATTGAAGATAAATACTATACAAAAACATTTTTTAAGTCCACTGAACCATTTTATTGTATTTTGTATCAGTGTTGCATTTAAAGGTGCGGCAGGTGATTGTCTTCAGAAACATGTTTTGTTGGGCTGGTTGAAAGTCTCTTCCCATTCCAATAGTAATGATTAAAGTAAATGATCTAAATGTATTTATATGTATTTTAATGTTCTGAGTAAGTCATAACACAAAAAAATATTCATTCCAATTAAAGTATGTCAGCCCGATAATTCCCGTCATTTATGTGTGCATGCTAGGCATAGACGATAACTGTTTTTAAGGTATACCGCGGTTTGGAAAAGTCAAGGTTTTAAAACCATCAAAATTGTTCTGCTATATCGTTCCTATGTTATCTGAACGATTTTTGTTTGTTTGTTTGTTTTTTTTTAGGGCTACAGTATCTTCAGCATAAAAGATGTCCAGAGATGCCCTTTTAAAATGTAATGAAGCCTGAGTTTTTGAAACAAATCAATACAGCAGAAGTCAATGATTCATTTAAAGTATTTAGCTTGACGTGTTGACATGTGAAAATATTTTAAATGTTTTTCAAAATAACATATATTGTGTTCAAACTTCAAAGGTGATAGATATTATACAGTTTTTTGTTGGGAGATGTAGTATTATATAGTACTATAAAGTTTTCTAACTGGTGATTGACATCATGACTGTCATCTTTAATGTGCGAGTTCATGATATCAGGAGGGGTGGCTTTGGACAGCAGGGGAGGGGCTGTGTTTTAAAGATATTAATCTTAATGGTTAACATTTTGGCAGATTACCTATTGCACCATTAATAATACTCTAGTCCTGAAAAAAAGAATAGCTGAAGCATTTCTCAGTCGCAGCTGATATCTGGGTTATTTCAATTGAAGCGGAGTCTAGCAGTAGCGTCCAGCACAGCAGGAGATGAAGAAGCAGATATGACTCAGACTTCCTCTCTTTCACTCTGTGCATCATGTGGGCATCCATCTTTCCTGCATCATGAGGGCGTCTGCCGCCCCAGACATGCAGACGACAGTGCCAGAGCTCAGTCCCATAAAGCCACACTCACAGCCCCTCTCGTTTCATGTCCTCCACGGTCCCATCCTCTCCTTCCTCTCTTTATCTGCACTCATCACGCAAACACACTGCGAAAAGAGAGGGAAGAGATATGCACGTCAGGTCAGGGGTTTGTGGAGAAAGTGCAGCTCCAGCGATAACCCGGTGACAGGCAGGATGGCGACAGAGGGACGGCCATCCGACACCACACAGTGGCGGCGTTCAGTGTGTCTGGCGCTCGCTGAAACACTCCCACATTACTCGATCAATGCACAATCCGGCGCGTACCGGCTGCAGGATGACTCCGGCATGTTTCGCTGTCTTTGTGATATACAATGCAGCTGACACTAAGCTGTAAGGATGGCCTAAAGTCATCCCAATTACGCTTTTATTTACCTCTCGTAAAAGAATCTTAGCACCTGGAATGGATAAACACCAGAAGTTGCCTTGTAAGATTCATATAGTATATTTATGCTTTGAGCAGAAATGTATCAATGTAAATAAAAATGGGAATATTAACATGAATTTTAAAAAAATATATAATTTTATATGTAGAAATAATAAAATATTATACAATTAAACAATTATATATATATATATATATATATATATATATATATATATATATATATATATATATATATATATATATATATATATATGATCATCTAGTCATAACAACATTCGTTTTTAGTTCATTGTAACATATTAAACTAAGTTCATCATATTCTAACTTAATTTTATAAGTTGCGCAAGATGTCTTAAGTCAGTTTAACATAATATAAATTCAATGGACACATAAGGTTAATTTGATTCAGCTTAAAAATTTCAGGCAACCAATATTTTTTTTTTTTTGTTTACAGTTTAGTAATAAATTAATTATAAAATAATGTTTGTAAATAAATATAAAATAACCAAATTTATTTATAATTATGAATCATTTAAAATTATTCAAATAAAAAAATATTTGCAATCATGTAGTATTAGTATAGTTTTAAATTTGTTTAAATAATAAATATAAAGAAAAACATTAAAATACATTTACATATTTTATATTTTGATTATTAAGAATATTTATAAATAATATATTATAAATAATAAAATTAGTTTAAAAATAATATTAATAATAAAATTATATTAAAAAATAAATCAGTTATAAGTTTGTAGGCTAAGCAAGTTTATTTATATAGCACATTTCATACACAACGGTAATTCAAAGTGCTTTACATAAACAGAAATAACAGAGTATTAGAAGTATAAGAAAATAAAAACAAAGAACATAAATTATAAAAAATATATTAAAATGTATTAAAGTTTTTTTTAAATATATACAAGTAATAAATATAAATAAATATACATTTTTAAAGTAATATAAAACTTTAAAAAATAAATATGTTAGATGAAATCTGCTAGAAAAAAACAATACATTTACATATTTTATATTTAATTATAATGAGAAATATGTATAAATAATATATAATAATTAGTAATAATTATTACAAATAATAATATTAATATTATAAATATATAAAATAAATAATTTGAAATGATAAATAATTATAATTAAACATAATTGTTAAAAACATGTATAAGTAAAAATCATTTGCAATTATATAGTATTACTATTAGTAGTAGTGCGAGTACAGTTATAAATTCGTAGGCAAGGCAAGTTTTTTTTAAGTAATATAAAATTTTATTCTAAACTTGGCAGCAAAAAATATATATAATTAGACATGAAAAGATAAAATCTGCTGGAAAAAACCTATATATATATTACTATTTTGATTATTATGTGGAAAATATGTATAAATGATGATATATTTTGGTCTCTGTTATACAGAGCAGCTGACACTGAGCTGTGAGGATGGGCCAAAAGTCATTCGCTCACGCTCCGAATTACGCTTTTATTTGCCTCTCGTAAAAAAATGTTAAGCACCTGTAATGGATAAACGCCAGCAGATTCATATATTTATGCTTTGAGCTCTTGTTAATGTTATCTTTAAACAGTTATAGTGCCATAAAATTGTCAGTTGGACTTTCTTGTTTCTGAAATGCATTTTTTGCAGCAGATGCTTGAAGAGTTTACAGTGTAGTACACATTTTTTTGCATAACAGAACTTAATCAGTATACTGACTTAAAGAGAAAATGATTTCAAATAATAATTTTTATGAATAAATAATAATAAAATATGGCATTTATCTTGTAAATCTGACTTTTTCCATGTTTAAATGTTACAATCTGGTCCGTGGTGCATCTACCAACCCAGAAAACATGGGAAAAAGCTTATTAACAGAGAACAGATTTCTATGTTGTTATTTTATCAGAGAAGCCCTTATTTTCAGTGTATTTCATAAGCGCACTTTTATTCTGCACTGTATAATCAGATTAAAGGCTTTTTGCATATTCTGTGAATATAAGAAGATTTGGTAACACTTTAGTTTGTCTCAATTCACACCAATAACTACTGGCTTATTACTTGCTAATTATTAAGATATTAACTGTTCATTAGTAGTTATAAAGTATGATCTTATTCT